CACAGGCTATATCATATATGTGTGACACACCCCCATAGGCAAAACTAGTGCCGCATGCTGGTCTTGTCCAGCCTGCATTGTTGGTCGGGCTGGCCTGAGGCTTTCGGGTTGAGCAATGGCCGACCTTTGGCCGTCACAGAACTAGATTCTTGCCAGGTTGGCTTGGCTCGTCCGAGCCAAGTAGGCTCGTCATGAGCTAGGATAGCCATGTATTTACAATAGGCTCATGACCACTCCCTTGACGGACCTAGCTATTCCAATTTACTTCATATACTATGCTGATGGATTGCGGTCATATACTATGGAGTAGTTCGTTTGCCTCTAATTCAAAACGCTCCCACAGTTTCGGTGCACTGCATTTGAAAGCTCGCAGACTTGCAGGAGTTTGTGAAGTGGAATTCTGTCTTATCCCACATCATTTTGCTCTTCATTTCCCACTCGCATAGCTCGTGTGCTGTGCGCCCATCCATGTGCCCTTTTCCATTCTTCTTTCAAAGACCATCCCAGTTCCTTGCGTTCCCTCGTGCCACAACCTATACTACGTTTCCCCAACTACTTACACTCCCCTCCACCCCCCACCCTCCCTGCTTCCAGCGAAGGCTGCTTGTTCTCCTCCGTGCTCCCAACAGTGCTCTCCACCTGATGGGATCTCGACCCATCGAACCCCCGTGGGCCGCCATGCCTGCTATACTCGTCTCTTCTTTTTCTCATCCAATTCCCACAACACACAATGCACAGGGATCTCTCATCCAATTCCCTCAGTGGCAACATATTCAGTGACTTTGAATTGCTTGATCGCCTCAACTATCTGTACGTTGTTGTTTGGCCCTCCACAGTCTGTTTCAAAGAATTCTGAGAGCGTGATCAGCTAATGACTACAAACAGATCTAGATCTATCAACTCACTTCCATTAGCGCTTTGTGGCCCCTCCACACCCCAGTTGCCGTTCCTAAGCATTCTGGGACGACCTGTGACCAGTTCAGTGGTTTGCCAACACCATGCATCTTCTCTCAGTAGTTGTTTCCCAGTCCCGTTGGACCAACCCGCCATACATGGTTCAATCATGTGTTGTTGCGTTGCTTCATGTAGATGGATGCACGGCGCTGCGTTGCTGTGTGCAGGAGGCTAGGCTAACTGAGATTTCTCCTGTACTTTTCATCCACCCCTTGTGACCAGAATCCTTTCTGATAATGATCTCAGCGGTGAGATTCCAGCTGAGATTGGAGGCTTCACTTTATTGAAGTACTTGTAAGTAGGCTTGAGCAAGTATGAAACCCGAACGAACCTTGTAAGAGGCTTGAGCAAGTACCAAAGCCAAACTGATCTTGTAATAGGCTGAGCAAGTGGGCTTGAGAAAGTGCCAGAACCGAACCGAACTTGTGAGTATGCTTGAGCAAGTACCAATCTGGAATAAACTTCTAAGTATGTTTGAGAAGATACTTAACTGGAACTGAACCCGTGAGTAGGCTTCAGCAAGTACCAAAGCTGTAAAAAAAAAAGTAAGCAGTGTGATATATACTTGACATGGGTGGGCCATAAAGAGAACTCTTGCAGGATTAGTAGAGTCTTGCAGCTTTTCGCAGCTTACAAAAAAGTGTACGTGCAGTTGTGCCCATGAGTTCCGCCTTTCCATTTCCCGTTTCCACTGCAGTGACGTCTCTCGCACCAACCTCGTATGCCCACCTAACTACTCCGCCTGTGGCACAACACAATCTCCCAAAAGGGCCTTTTGTGGCACATGTCAATCCTTCTGCAAGACTTGCTACCAATCTGCAGGCAAGTAAATAAACATCAGCAAAGTACGGTCTCAAGATTCGAAACTCGATGCATGGAGGAAGGCATTTCAGAGTACAGCAAGCAACGCGTGGCAAGGCATGGCAAAAGACAAGGCAATGCACGGACAAGGCATGTCAATGCATGGCACAAGGCATGGCACAAGGCATGGCATAAGGCATGGCATAAGGCATGAGCACAAGGCATGAACACAAGGCATGAGCACAAGGCATGAGCACAAGGCATGAGCACAAGGCATGGCACAGAGCATGGGACAATGCATGGCACAAGACATGACACACACACAGCGCATGGCACAATGCATGGGCACAAGTCAAGGGACAAGGCGTTGCACAATGCATGGCACAAGCCATGGCACAACGCATGGCGCAATGCAAGGCACAAGGCATGGCAGAATGCATGGGCACAAGGCATGGGACAAGGCATGACACAATGCTTGCCCGAATTATTAAAAAGCACCTCACCTACTTTGGACAATAAGAGGGGTGTAGAGTTTTCTCGCATTGAGACATGCACAATTACGATCAATCTAGGCTCTCTTACCGCGGAGCATCACCCTTCTGATCGTTTTTTACGCACTTGCCTGCTTGGCTGAACGTTTATTGCTCACACGTTATAACGCCCTCTTGACAACTCTTCTACTTATAACCTTCATGCAGTCCCCACTGCAACTCTTCCTCAGCAGGAGGTGCGGGTACAGTGTCATTGGGCGCCATCATTGGCATTATTGTTGCCGCTATGGTCATTCTCCTACTTCTTGGTGCAGCTCTGCTTTACTTCACACACAAAATCAAGCTGAAACCACAAGGTAGGGAGACAAAGCAACCAGAAGAGTTCATTCTGAATAACCAAACCCTGTCTTGTTTCAACCATGGCGATAAGTGAGGAGCTAGTTCTCCATTGCATGAACTTAGACATCTGCATGCAAGTCTGCAAGACTAATCATGCTCGACTCGACAAAATCCAGCAGCCGAAACCGAGCTCTCAAATCTCTTGCCATGAAATGAGTGAGATCGACTCCCCACTAACAGCGTGGCTTGGTGCACGCATTCACTTCAATCCCCAGCGTACAGGCCTGTATGCATGGCCACACAGCTCTGGAACTTAAGTGGCACAAGGTGTTGAGGCAGTAGATGGTCTAAATCTCAGTTTCCATGTTTTGGAGCTGCAAAGATTCGTAGAGGCTCTGTGTAGAATATCCCGTGAACTGATTGGCACGCCGCAAATCAATTCCCTAGAATGTTGGGCCAAGTCATGGGACTCGACTCGTCACATGATTCGACTGAGGCCGGCCGAACTCGACCTGACTCGACTCCACTCAACTCGTGCCCAGGCATTTTCCCCTGCACCCATGCACCTCCTTTCACATATGACCCCACGAGCAGGCTCGGGGAGCAGCCTGGCATCCTCGCACTGCACCGAATTCTCACTAGCAGAAGTCCTCAAGGCCACCAACGACTGGTCCGAGGACAACCAGCTGGGCTCGGGTGCCTTTGGCGATGTGTACAAGGGTGTGTCTCCCCGCGATGGCATTACCATGTGGGCTGTCAAGCGCGCCAAGCTGATCGACGTGGACTTTCAGAAAGAGGTCAGTGAGTGAGCTGCACATGTGAAGGTTGCAAATTTTATTGCACTGGTATGTTTTGTCAGTGAGCCATGGTGAACCATGGTGAGCCGTGATAAGATGGCATGTGTCAGTGACATCATTTTTAATCCCACGTCTAAGATTTATATGCTCTATTGAAATGTTACATTGCCATGATGTCTTTTGCTGTTCAACTAATTATAGATCGTGTCTTCAATGCTGGTAAATTTAGGACATTCCCTTGGCTGCTTCTCCATTTGTTCTGTCATCCCTGATCATATTTGTTTCTTTTCCTCTGGCTGTGTGGATCAGATCCAGCAGATGGCCGACAAGAACCATCCCAACATTGTGAAGCTCCTTGGATTTGCGATCGGAGGAGACTTGAGGACTCGGCCAGAGCAAGTTCTGATCTATGAATATGTGCCCAATGGCGACCTTCACAGATGGATTGGTCCAAGTATGCGTGATACTCCTCCAGCGTGTTTTTTGCTGTGCCACGCAGATGGCGTGCTGTGCCGCGCAGATGTTGTGTCATAAATATGCCGTGCAATTATAAGATGTGCCACTTATGCTGCACATCCTTGCAGAGGCAACCTGTGCTTTGTCATTCATGCTCTGCCACTCACGCTTTACCACCCATCCTCTACCACCCTTCCTCTATCACTCATCCTCTACACATCCTCTGCCACTTGTCTGCTGCCACTCGTCCCCTGTCATTCATCCTCTGCAATTCATCCTCTGCCACTCATGCTATGCCAATCATATGCTGTGCCAATCATATGCTCTGCCATTATATGTTGTGCCAATCATATGCTGTGCCATTATATGTTGTGCCAATCATATGCTTTGCCATTCGTCCTTTACCATTCATCCTTTTCCACTCATCCACTGCCACATGTTTCTTGCAGAGGCATCCTGCCCTCTGACTCTGAAGCAGCGGCTGGACATTCTCATCGGCTTGGCACGGGGCTTCGAATACCTCCACGGCTTTGGCATCGTGCATCGCGACATCAAGCCTGCCAACGTCCTCATCACCAACAGCATGCAGGCAAGCTTGGTCGTCGTAGTGGATCCTGTCTAGTGAAGATGATATATATACATATATATACATATATATATATAAGTTTGAACAAGGGGTCATTGGCACAACACTACACCAACTATGGCTGGAATGTCTTTCAACTTCATATATCGTTTCTCACAGCAACCATTTACTCAGCCCACTCACAAACCCTTTTACTTACATTTCATGCTCTTTTGTGGATGGCATCACAAGCGACCAGAGTTCTCACTGAGTGATTAATTCCTCATGCTACAATGCCGTCACCAGGTGAAGATTGCCGACTTTGGTCTGCTGAGGATGGGGGAGGGCACAACCGTGGGCACAACGCGCATCATGGGCACACCGGGCTATGTGGATCCGGTCTACTCCATCACGTCCAAGGCCACTGCAGCCAGCGATGTGTACAGGTGAGGCAGTGATGTGTACAGGTGGGCCAGTGAGGTGTAGAGGTGATCATTGCAAAGGCCCTATGGGGATCCAGTCTACTCCAAGGCACCGCTGCCAGCGATGTGTGCAGGTGGGCCAGTGAGGTGTAGAGGTGATCATTGCAAAGGCCCTATGGGGATCCAGTCTACTCCAAGGCACCGCTGCCAGCGATGTGTGCAGGTGGGCCAGTGAGGTGTATATGTGAAGCAGTGATGCGTACAAAAGTCCTTGCTGGAAGTGCATAGTATTCAGTAAAGGAGAAACTAGAAATGCATTGTAGTAGGAGTCAGCACCCAATAAGACCCGCCCCAAATCTTATGTGTGTGTGATATATGGACCTGTACATGTTGCGGTCAGGAAATAAAACTTATCTGAAAAGCATGTGCCTCTCCCCTCTTCTCTTCCTCTGCCATCTTGTGCCCTGAACATTCTGTGCCTTTGAACATGTCCGCTTTTTTTTCAGCTTTGGAGTGCTCATGTTGGTGGTCCTCACGGGACGAGAGCCAATCTCGGAAAATGCTGGAGAGAGCTGGAAGATCACTCCGTGGGTAAGTGCTTATCCCATGGGACCACCGCGTATGCAATTACCTCAACCCATGAAACCACCTTCCGCCACTACCACATGTGTGGTTGTGGTACTTCCTTTCTTTCCTCGTCCATTTTACACTAGTGGTCCTCACAGGGACGTCAGATCACTCTGTGGGTGAGCACCACTTGCCGGTACTTCCAAAGACTCAAATAGCATATTCTCCAAAGGAAATATTTCCAGCTTCTTGAATACCATATATGTCCCCTCCCAATCCCTCCACCTGCTCCACCTTTCAACACTCCCTTCACACCCTGCAAACCCTCCACCCTCTCCAAACTCTCCACCTTCTCCCACCCTCAATCTTCTCAACCCCCTCAGGTGGCGGAGTGCCTGTCCAAGAATGACGTGGGGAGCCTCATGGACCCCACCATGGACGCCCCTGCTGAAGCTGTGCTGCGAGTGGCTCAGATCTCCCTCGCCTGCACTGGAGAGCGCACTGCAGACCGCCCAAGCATGCTGCAGGTTGCCAACGAGCTGCAGGCCATTCGCGAGGCAGTGGGGGGGAAAGAGGTGCTGTGTGCTGCAGTCAAGGTGGATGCGCAGGTGCAGGAGATGAAGGATGTTGTCGCCGGTGTCGCAAGCCTCGACACGGAAATTATGAAGATTGGAGAGCAGGCCTCAGGATAACAGGATGATTCACCTTTATAAGACGTGGTCTGAGCTGTGAATAAATGGGTGTTTCGCCTTTATGACACTCACTATATGGGTCTGTGCCCTTACAAGAGTGTGAATAATCTCTAAGCTGCCTCATAATTGTAGAGGGTGATGATGCACCTCCATATGGGAAAAACGTCAGTCCAATGTGAGTGTGTGCTGCAACGAGTTAGGCGAAATAAAACGAAAAGAGATCATACTATCAAATGCTGATGTGCAAATTTCTTACTGATGGGGCAACTGATGTGTGTGTGTGTATGTGTGTGTGTGTGTGTGTCTGTATGTGTGTGTGTGTGTATGTGTGTCTAAAGACCCATACAGCAGACACCAAGCTTAGGACCCGCAAAATCTGAAGCTTTCGTTTAGGTCGTGTAATGCTCAATGCGACGGTTGGGTGAGGAAGTCATGCCGCGAGTGCACTGGAAACGCAGCAGGTGCCCCAATCTGAGCAAAGAGTTTGCAGTGTGTGCAGGATCGTGCCAACTTGGTGTGGCCCAACGCCCTGCTGTCCAGCCCGAACCTGAGAGGGGAGTGGGGAGAGGTGGGGAAAAGGAGAGACAGTGACAGGGAGAAGGTGTCAGGGGCAGAAGGTGACAGGAAGAAGGTGACAGGGAGAAGGGGACAGGGGCAAAAGGTGACAGGGAGAAGGTGACAGGGAGAAGGTGACAGGGAGAAGGGGACAGGGAGAAGGGGACAGGGAGAAGGTGACAGGTAGAAGGTGACAGGGAGAAGGTGACAGGGAGAAGGTGACAGGGAGAAGGTGACAGGGAGGAGGTGACAGGGAGAAGGTGACAGGGAGAAGGTGACAGGGAGGAGGTGACAGGGAGAAGGTGACAGGGAGAAGATGACAGGGGCAGAAGGTGACTAGGCAAGAATCAGCGTGATACATGTGTTCCCCTGCACCCTGCTGTCCAGCCCACACCGGGGGGGTGGGAGGGAGCAGGAGAGGCAGGTCATGAGGGAAAAACATGCTTTCCAGCCATGCCTAGGCATGCCAATGGCGACCGATCTCACATGTGAAGCATGAAGCCAGACGTTGGTTCTCAGATTCTGCCACAAGGAGATGGTATCTCAGGAAGCATGCAATTGACAGCTGAGCTTTCTCCTTCTGCATCCCAAAATTCGCTCAGCCGAAATCACTTTGAGAATGATGGTGACCCCAGAGTCACCCTCACAAGGAGACCCACAAGTTCACTCTAAAGTTACCTACAGCTTACCCCAGACGGTGGCGACGTCAGCGACAACCGCCAACCGTAGCGCCCAACGTGGTAACAGAACATTCGACCAATCGAATCGGTTTACGGTTTGGGAGAGTACCCCGAGGTTACCCCAACCAACTTCGGCGGGAAAGTTCATGGCCCTGCCTATTTTGTCACTACTTTGAATCTGCCAAGGTAGCCACGTATGGGAATGGTGGGTAAGCCTTTTACTGTACACTTTGTTTCTCAACATGTCGAATTGACAAATTACGATTGTGTCTTCTCCGATTCTGGGTTTACTATCACATCGTTCAACATATGGTAGTTCCAGTGATGGGTTGGGTTACGTGGCACAATCTAGTTCACCAACCAATCGGAGCTCTTCGACAACACCTTCTACTGCCTCTTCTCTCCCAGCACCTTTCAAGTACTTATCCTCATCCATCCTGTTTCTCACTCGTTATTCCTTATGTCGTTTTCAGCTCATGATACTCACGTAGAGCAGTTATAACGAGAGCTCCACGCTGCTTACTTGAACAAGTAGCAGGTTGTCTCGATTAACTATGATGAGCTTCTAATGGTGGTTGGGTTTTGCTTACACATTTAGGAAATAGGCTCCTTCCCCTTTCTACTAGCGATGTCATAGTATTTTAGATGTTGCCGCTGTTTCAATGACTTGCATCTAATCTATCGTAGTTCACGATCGTATCTTCATGGCAGATTATCGAACACGGGAGTGATGCATGATCTTCCCAAGGTCTACGCGTATCGACCTAAGAATTGGCGCTCGTCGTAAGGTGAGTTGAAATGCTGTACGATGTGGTTTCAGGATGAGCGTCACTCATTCCGCTTGCTTCATGGCATCACTATGTTTTCTATTGCCGCCGTTTTATTTGTCGGCATCCAGGTTTCCCTCATGCCTTCTCGCCATCACACGATTTGTTTCCTTGCAATTCGTTGCCTTCACCGCAAGGTTTTGCAGATGGCGTATCACCAAGACATTAGCTTCCTATCTGGAAATACTTCTTTTCTCGTGAGCATTCGGTGCATAATAGACACCAGCGGCGTGACAACGTTGTTTCCCAATCCATCCGGGTCCTCTATATGTTTCCTCGTGCACTAATATTTCTCCTGTTCTCACTACTCATTCCTCACTCTTACCCCACCCCCCCCCTGGCTGAATGTCGCCACTCTATGCAGAATATGGAAGGCGATTTTGTCACGCTTTGTCATGTATTCGTGAGGTAAGAACCTGCTATGTCGTTTGTTCCTGCTATCTCGTTTGTTATTGTATGCTGTAGGAGAACAACATAATGCATTGGGTAGTGAGGTTTGTGCAGGAGCTTTCGTTAGTGAGTATTATAGTGTCTACAACATGCTGCATGTAGGGTGCATGCTAGAAAGTGGCCAATTAGTAACATTGTTGTTCGTAATGTTGTATATGAAATGTGCAGATCAAAATGTGCAAAGTGCTAATCACTGCAGCCAGTCACAAAATAAAAAAATAATATGTGAATTTGTCAAATCTCATTTATGGTGGAATTCATTGTTGCGAAACTATACTAAGCAAGATTAATTTTTGTTTTTATCAAAAGTAGTTGTGGCTATATCAGATTTTTGTTTTCTTTTTAACGCTAATTTGTTCGCCAATAAACTGTAGGTAGTCGTTCACGTACTGTTTGCAAAATTCTGTAATGTTGGCGATGTATAGCATAGTGCGAAAGCGACTCGCGTGTGATTCGCTCCCGCATGATGGGAGGGGTCTCCAATGGGTGACCTCGGGGTCACCACGGGAGGTGATTGTGGTCGAGGTTACCCGCGGGTCACCTAGACAAGGACCACGGGGTATCCCGCCACAGGGTAAGCCGTGGGTAACCTGAGGGGGGGGGGGGGGGGGTTCGGCCCAAACGTTTTTGGGATGTGGCACAAGCAGATGGTAGTCTGCCATGCAAGCAGAAGAGGCAGCAGCACAGTGCATCAGCAGGACTGCAGCAGCAGCAGCAGCAGTAGAAATAGTAGTAGCAGAAGTGAGCGACAGTAGGCGTGGGCGACTGCAGTGGGCCGACCCGAGGTTGGATCGGGTTAGGAATCCTGCCCCACTGCACGCCCCTCCCCCCACTGAATGCATCTGCCCCTGGCCAACCGTCCCTGTGCGATGGCGGGTGCAGTGCGGGCACAAAATTCGAGAAAAATGACGCTGGTTTGACACTCGGACAGGCAGGTGACAAAAAGCCTGGGCAGGCAAAAAAACCTAGAAATCTAGTAGGTAGTGCAGGATTTTATGCGCAAAAATGGGAGCACAAATTGTTGAAACCGTTTTTCATAGCCCACCCCATTCCACGAATTTGCCTAAGAAACTTGTTTCCAACAATTTTCTTCCTTGCCACCAAATTCACCGCTTATGACCTAGAAAACCCAACCAATTTCAATCATGGAAACAAGATATTGGAGGTCAAGACCAGATCTAGATCTGATTGACCTCCTACATCTCTTATCCAGCGATCTCGTACCCGGCACTGTAATCCAACAGCGAAACTACTCTAGCTGTGCTTGCTACATATGATTTCAGCTTATTCAATACTAGCAGAAGGTATAGATTCCTGATAGCAGGAGTTGATGTCACGCCAGCCGTGTGGCGTCGTCGAGCACTCTTGTGCCCCCAAGGTCTCCTCCATGCCTCTAGCTTCTCTGGAGGTGGGCACCATGGTCTACTTGGGCTGCCAGGGTAGCAATAACTTAGGTGTGTGATAAGTTGGCTACTAATCTGAAGGTAATCTAAGGGGCTGTCCGTGCTCCCCCCACCATGCGGAGAGTCACTCTACACTGGGTGCTGGACTATGGTTCCTTGTATTCCCTAACACTTGTGTGTTCACAAGGCAAAAGAGCAAGAGTTTCACAAAAACAATCGGAGAACATTGATGCAAATGGAATTGGCAACAATAACTAGATCAGGGACCTAACAAGCCTAGCAGACAAGCAGGTCGACCTCCAGCGCAGCACAGAGGCGGCTTGCCAGCGCGGCAAATCGATGGCGTGCCAACGCAGCTGGAAGGCGGCTTGCCAACACATCAAGTCGTTGACATGCCAGCGCTGCACTACGGCAGCTTTTCAGCATTGCAACCGCAGATGTCTATAGCGCACGTGCACGCACCTACTTTCCAGATGCAGATAGACAGTTGAGCACGTCGTACACCATCACGCACATTGCGCAAGTGACAGGTCGGTCACGTGCCGACCGTGTCAGAATCTAATGAACAGGAATGATTGCATTGAGTAAGAAAGTGATACAAGTACTAACCCTAATTGGGTTGTACCCCATATAGGCTACCCCACTACAGCCTACACAACACAGAACATAACAGTTTGACACACCCCCATAGGCAAAGTGGGGGAGAACAAGGGGTCACAAGACCAGTCAAGAAAAGCAAAGCAAGCTCAGCGTGGATCACAAAGTCACCACACACTCTGAGCACAAGCAAATGGCCACAAGGCCAGTTCACATGCAGAGTTATATAAATAGGAACAAGTAGTACAGTGATCACAACCTAGCAAGTGTAAGCATGCAGGTACAAGTATATAGATCACAGTACAAGCAAAGTCACGAAATGAGCAAGTGAGGAAAAGTAGGCACAAGGCCGAAAACAGTACAGAAACTCTGATGATCACGAGGCTGAAGTGCCTTGGTGAATATATCAGCAGTGTTGGCCCGAGTGGCCACGTAAGCAAGACGAAGCTGACCACGCTGCTGCAACTCTCGAGCAACGACGTAATGCA